TCATCTGGCTGGCTTGGCGGTTGTCTGCTTTTCTCTTACTGCTCCATGTGTGTCCCTCCCAAAACTGCATGCTTAAAATGATGACCTTCCACAGTAGAGGAAGATCACTGTTTAGTCAAGGGTGTGGGTAGCTGTACTCTCCTGTTGGAACCTCTAGTTGAGCTCTCCAGATATTGCTGAGGTAGATGAGTTCACTTGTTCTTCTCCAGTTTAGACTGGTGGATGTTGGAGAGAGAGAGAGAGAGAGAGAGAGAGAAGGAGAGAGAGAGAGAATATTAGATAGAACATTCTTCTCCAAGGAACAAAGAAGGCAAGCAATATGTCAGCACAGTATCAGGATGTCCCTACAAAAACTGAAGTCTTAAAGTCTTTAGGAAAAGGGGAATGGGGTCAATCCTTGAGGCATTCCTCATTATCCTCCTGTCCTTTACCCTAATAAAAGAAGGAAATGTTACCCAAAGCACAAGCAAGAAGATTTGTTACATTTTACATGCAACATGCATCTGTGCTCAACAGTATTAAAACAAGTTCCCTAGCAGCTCCACTTCCAATAGCCAATAAGATTGGAAGCCACCATCAACCTTTTGATAAGAAGGCACGGGAGAACCAGAAATGTGAGAAGAAGGCCTCCATCACACTCTTCAGGAGGGACTCAGAGACAGGCAACTTAGCATAGCCTCATGTTTGAGCTACCTGGAGGTCACCAATGGAACTTTGTGCATGGATGGGCTGCCCTGCCTTGAAACACCAGGGATACCACAAAAATAGCTATGTTTTCCCCCATTTTGAAGAACACTCAGAGTTCCCCGGCTACCAGGCAACAGAGATAACAGTCTACCTGGCTCTGCTTGGCTCCAAATCCCACTGTCTCCCATGTACTACACCGTGTCCAGCTTGTCCAAGGTAAAGGAGGTGAGTAAGTGTATAAGAAGTGGAATTGGAGATGGCAAAGTATCCCAGGCAATCTATTCACTGCTTGTACTGCTATTGTGTTTATGTATGTCATAGAGTTGTGAAGGAAAACCTCACCAGGTGACCTAAGAAGTCATTCAATGTGTCACTTATGGATCCCACCTCTATCTCAGTCCAGAAAAGTAGAGAGGTCGTAGAGTCTCTGTCTAGGCAAAATGCTGTGGGAGGAGGTGTTGTGTGGACAGGTTGCACTTGGCTTTTGTCTCATGAATTCACCCCTGGCTACCCCCTTTCATCAGACCTAGTGGAGCCTGTAAGCTTCAAGCATGCCTTAGGATGAAGGTACAATATTTAGAAAGTGGGAAACAGTGTAAAAGTGGATTCTGACCAGAAGAAATTCCTCAAAGCATAGTATGTTCCCAAAAAAGGACTAGCAATTGGGAAGTCCAATAAAATGTGGGCAAATCCAGAGTTGGGGGGATCTAAATTTAAGGAGCTATCAAAATTTTTTGTTTTTTCCATTGCGCTTTACCTAGAGACAGTGAGGGGCCCATGAATCTAAGATTAATTTCACTCCTATCCAAAATTTTGTTTCTGGCTTTACCACATCCTGGAGACACAGAAGCGTGAACTAATGGACATGGAATTACTTGCAATAATAGTTTCCAGAGCGATCACGTTACTTTTAGATTCTGAACATGGGTTTTGTTTCTGAAAGAAACTATATTATTGTTTGCTTCTAGTACTTGCTTTTTAAAAAATCCTCACCTGCAATTTTCTACATGGAATGCGGCAGCAGCAATAATTTTTCCTAAATAAAAAAAATCCAAAGGGCCATTAACAACCTATTGTGCATAAATTTAATAATAGACCTACAGTCCCTATGTTTCAGGGTGAAAAATAGAATCTCTTAGTTTGCAGACAATGGTGTTATTTCTTCAATTATCTTTTACTCTAACCACTAGTCATTTCTAACATTAAATAAATTAAACATTCTCTATGTAAGATATTTAGAAAATAGAAAGTATGTCATTATTCAAGTCTTACCACTGCTAACTCTTTAGTGTAATTATTTTCTGTCTGCATACACACACCTACAGATATACACAAATGTATTTGTGTATTATTTTTTACTTAACATATCATGGTTTCATTTCTATTTTAACAAGTAACAAAAATCTATTATATAATCTCACATAAAAGAGCAATTTGAACAAATTGCTGTCTGCTGTCTTAGCGGTTCTTTATGCAGGCTCCTAAGACGTAGCTTGCTGAGTTATAGTTATAGAACGTGTAAGAATGTTACTGCCAAAGCGAAGCAATTTGCACTGGAATGATATATGAAATAACTGGTTTCATAGCTGCCTTGCCAACATTGAGTGTTACCTGTTTTTCTAATCGCGTTTATTTTCAGAGGTGAATATTCTTAGTTGCACTTCTTTACTGAAACTTTTCCCTTCATTTATGCACAGTTTGTCTCTTGAGCCATTACTCATGTTCCCATCAGTCACATTAAATTAGAGGGGACAGTGGCAGACTGCACGAGCATGAGTGAGGCAATGTTGCCGACTATTTTGCATTCTCGGGATCCGGTTATTCACTTGGTGAGCCCTCGGTGAGACTACTGAATGTTCACTATAAATCCTAGGAGGCAGATCAATATCATCAGGAAAGGGCATCATCCCAGCCACATGGGACAACAACCTTCCTTTGGTTGTGTGGCCTCCATCAGGACTGTTAACCTTTGACATCTGTGCTGCTGATGGGCACCTCTAGGGTGCTGGATGGAAAGCTCTGGAGATTCTTGAGTCACTTGTTCACTTTATTTTTAATCTTCAATGCCATTGCCTCTACACAGGCAGGACTTGCTCTTTACTTGTTTAGTGACTAAAGCACCATGATTCTGTCTTTTTACTCCACAGAGTCAAGTGGAGAGTCCAGTAATAGAGACAGACATATAAACCCCACAATAGCATGTGAGAAGGGCTGTTACAGATTGTGTGACTACCAAAGAACAGGATGCAGCTCACACCATTGAGACTCATGTATAACAGGCAATATGATAATCAAGTTAAACTGTCAAGGATGAGAAAGCAATGCCTATGAAGCTAGAGTTGGGAAGGAGCTTCCAGGCACAAAGTACAGACCAGACAAGCACCTTGGTGTCTTTGAAGAGGCCTGTACTCTTTGGGTGACAGAACTATAAAATTATAGAATGGAGGAAGATGAGACTGGAAAGAAGCAGGTGGAGATGATAATGAGGAGCCTTATTCTTCACTCTAGGGTGGTGGTCTTTAACCTTTTTTGGCACCAGGGACCAGTTTCCTGGAAGACAACTCTACCATAGATGGGGGAGAAAGGAGGGTCTCAGGATGATTCAAGTGCATTACATTTACCATTACATTGTGCACTACATTTGTATTATCATTGAATTAACTCCTCATAAGCAGTATGCAGTCATGCAACTTTGATCCTTCATGTGCACAGTGGCTATGGGAATCTAGTGCTGCCCCCATTCTGATAGGAGTCAGAGTTAGGGGGTGATGTGATCAAGGAAGAGCAGCTGTAAATGTAGATGCAGCTTCACCCACTGGCTCTCCACCTAACTCCTGCTGTGAGGCCTGGTTCCTAACAAGCCAAGGACAGGTACCAGTTGGTGGCCCAGGGGCTAGTGACCCCTGCTCTAGGGCAGCCAGACTTTCCCTAAAGGTAACTGGAAACACTTAAAATACCTGGGCAACTGAAGTGCTGTTTAGCACCAGCCCGTAAGTTGTATGAGAGGGTAAGGTAATTACGTCTGGGAGTCATAGACCTGAACAGGTAAAAGTGGGTTTCTTAACAAACAGGCAGGTAAATGAAATAACGAATAAATAAACTTGTAAGAGGTAGGTGGGTGAGCAGATGAGGCTTTGTTAAGAGGTGGATGTGTGGATACTGAAGGCAGTTTTAGACTTTGCATTTACTTTCAAGTCTTAAGAAAAGGCACCTTAACCTACTAGTGTCACATGGGACCAATGTATTCAAACCAGTAAGAATAATGACAGCTAACAAGAAAAATCTAAGGTACCAATTTGTTAATGATGCTGAGAACTGGATGGTGAGATTTCAGCGATTTTAACTTTCTATTTCTTATCTTGCATATTGTTACACATTTTCAATCATTTTGCAGTGATTTTTAGTACCAAAAATGAAAATTCTATATAATTACAAATAAAGAGGATGATAATAATGATAACAATGTTTAGACTGTACCGGTAAGTTTTACATAGTACTCAGGGTTTCATGTGTGTCTCTGATCCTCACAACAGTCCTGTGAGGTACCAGTTACCCTCAGAGAAATCAAAGAACTTATCCAAGCAGACTAGTGCAATAGGTTACAAAACAGTCCAATTTGACACTCCTCCCCATATACCCTTTGTGAGGTGACTTTGGAGTGCCCCTGTTGACGTCATTAACTGGGAGGCCACTATTAGGCGAGGAAGGCTTCACCCCCCTGGGTTCTGACGTGAGCAAACAAACTCAACTCAGTGTCAACAGTAAAAGGAAACTTAAGCTTTCACCAATCAGAAACTGTGAAGACTTTTATCTGGGAGGATATAAATGAGGCTACTGCTCTGCTTTAATGAAATATTGACTTTGTCTTTCTTTGTTTTACATTTGCTCTACAAAACCTTCATAAAGCCCTCTCCTCTAGTCCCTTTGGTGAAGTCCCCAAAACGCTAGTGGTTTGGAGATACCCAATTCATGTATTGTTGTCCATTCAAAGGAACTCTTTGACACTTTCATTCACTAAAGTTTATCTTTTAACATAGATATTCTGTAGAAGCAGAATCCATTTCCTCATCCCTTGACTCTGAGCTTGACTGTTTTTATTGTTTTGTTTTGTTTTGTTTTGTTAGATAAATGAATGAGTTGGCAGTCCAGAGCTCAAACTTGGAAATGCTCTGCACCCTTCTCCTCCACAGACCAGAACCTCCATCAACAAGGCCAAGCCAGAAGTTTGGATGATGACTCATAGTGGCCTAGCCAAATCCATCACAGAAGCCAAAGCCAGCCAACTGTTGAACATCAGACAGGAGAGGGAGGCCACCTGGACTTCAAAGCAATGATAGACTGAGCAAGCCTAGTTTGACCCTGGCTGACCCTCAAAGCAATGGTAGACTCCTACGAAAGCCCAACCAAGATCAGATGAACTAGCCCAAGCCACCAAAACTTCCCAGGTAACCCATGGAAAATGATTGTTGTTTGAAGTCACTTAAGCTGGTCCATTTTGTTATATACCAGTAGCTAACTGATACAATATAAAGTGCAAGAACAGAGATGTGCACCCATATCAGCTTTGTCTATTTTATCTGGCTTTATAATGACACATCTATAGGCTTAAAAAAAAAGTATAATAGTTCCTCTGTGTGTATGAAGGTTTGGCTCATGGAACCCTCTACAGATACAAAATAGGAGGAGGTTCAAGTTCCTTGTAGAAAATGACATAGTATTTGTGTATAACATACACACATCCTCTGTACACTTTAAATCACCTCTAGATTACTTATAATGCCTAATATAATTTAAATGTTATATAAATATTGTCATATTGTGTTGTTTAGGGAACAATGTCAAGGAAAAAGTTTGTACAAATACATCTATTTTTCTAAATATTTTCCATCCACGATTGGGTGCATCCATGGATGCCAATCCCACAGTTACAGTGGACTGATGATATTATTATACCAATTTAGAAGTAAAACAAATAAACAAAACAAAACCCAGCCTGAGATGGAGGTGGTGCACATGCCTGGGATGGAGCACGGAATCAGACACTCGGCCTGCAAGCTCAGCCTGACCTCACCACCAGACCATGAAATCTAGATTCTGACCCAGAATTATTTAATCCAGCTGTGAGCCTTAAGAAGCCACTTCACATGCTGGCTTTCTAGTTTAAAATATCAATTCTCTTCCTACTGCATTTCAAATACTGCTGGTAGAACCACAATTCATCCTTGTCCCCACAAAGAGGAAAGAAGCTGTTGGCCCCCTAAAGAGTGTAACTTTCAGGAGGGTAGGCCCTTGAATGTTTTCCTCACCACTAGATCCTGGGGCTCACATGAGGACTCGAACACGAAACAAGGACTTGGCGGTTTGAAGCAACTCTGTCCTAAACCCATAAAAATCTTCATTTAGTCTTCATGCAATATCTCCTTTCTTACAAATGTTCTCATTTTACAAACCATTAAGATGCAAGATTTTATGTACTTTTTCTAAAGTAACTAGAGAAATAAGTAGTAGAGCCAAGTTTTGAATCCAGTATTGCTGGGATCAGAATGAGTGTACTTTTTCTAACTGTCCTTTCCTATTCCAGGGTACCAGATATGCCAGATAACTCCTGGAGTCAGATTTCTATACAAGTGGCCCCCTGCAGCTTCCCCTACCAGTAAGTGAAAATGAGGAAACAGACTTCAACGGAAACAGAATTTACCGATTAGGTATTACTTTAAAGGATACTTTCAGATTGTTAAATCTTTAAACTACCAGGTTATGTTACACATTCCGATGGAATTTCTATAGAGAAACAATTCCGCAAGTAGTGCAGCCTCTATGATCACACCCTGAATTCTGTGATCATTTCTTATCATGGCCCCTGGATGTAGGGGCCAGATATTTCCCATTTTGCCTCCTGATTTACTCTTCATTCAGGCCTTTCCTAACATAGCGTGAACACAAAGGTCAATTTCCTGCAGTCGGTTTGAAAAAGGCCAACTCTCAATTAACTTTGCAAAAGAGGTCAGAGGTGATGTGGAGAAATAAAACCCACAAGTAATGCAAAACACTCACTTCAGCTCCTGAGTCCTAATAGCCCCTGCTTCCCAGCGCTGACCAGGACTGCTCACAGGTAGTGAATCAGACAAAGTTTCAATCTGTTGCTCAGAATTGCATCATTTCTGCAACCCACCACGAGTAAACAACAGATCAACAAGGGAAAAGATGCAAGACTAACAGCCAGATGGAGAACGCAAACACACAGAGAAATACACCAGCACAACATGCAAGCTGAATACTATGAAAGTCATCATTATATAGAATTCATAGATTCTTTCCTCCTACCTCAAATAAACATGCACATTTTCCACTAATCTTTAATTGCCCTCCCACCCCTACAGATGAACCCCTATTGCATGGGACAAGCAGAGACTCTGCTGACTGTTGAAAAGATGTTCCACCCTCCTGCACTCCCTTAAATTTAAACCAGACAGGCCTCGGCAGAGGAAGGGCTCACTGTGGTCCACCAAAACGAAATCCTGAGTACTTACTGAGCCCCAAACTGTTCATATGAGGCAAACCCAAAGGTTTTTCCTTATGCCACACTCTCTAGAGAACGGTTCTTTCAACCTTCTTGAGTGAGGGACATGAATCGTGGGGCAGAAGGGGAGATGAGAAGTCCGTAAAAGGCACTGTTCCCCATAATCAGAACCATATTTGGTCTACTTGGTCTTACCTCCCGACTCCCTCTGAGATGCTATAAACATTGGCAGACAATGCACATAATTAGGGTCAAATACATTCTTATAAAATATTTGTTTCCATCTGCTAGTTATTTCAGCAAACATTAGATTTCCTGTAGTCAGTCTTGGGAAGAACAGGGGGATCCCTAGTCTCCAGGGAGAAGCAGCTCAGGGTGTGACACAGGGATGCTGCTGACTATGCAGCCTGGACCAGCCAACGGTGACAGATGCTAGCGTATGTTTTCCAGCCTTCATTGTCCAGAAGCTGCTAGGTACAGCAGCAGCAAGATCAAACTCTACCTTTTAAACTATAAAGAAATATTGAGAGACTGTGAGCATTGTTGTCTTTCAATACCAAAGGGGAAGTGTGCAAAAGCAAGTAAGAGTGTTCTGGCACCAGAATAATTTCTCCATTACCTCAATTAGTTCCAATGATGTGGAAAACTTCTGTCTGGAGAAATCAAACTAAAGGTAAAATCACTGAAGCACCAGTGGTGGCGGCAGTAGGTGTTGATACAGGCATTAGTCAGCAATACTGATGGCAGTGAAGTCACTCAATCGCCCTGTCGCTGGAACCGGGGCAGAGAAATAAACTCATTAGATCACCCCCTTTAGTGAAGCATGTGGTTTTCAATGTGGCACCAGTACAACCTGGCACCCACCAAAAGATTTAGCTGTCTGCCCATGTAAGACACAATTTACTAAGGTGTCTGGGAAAGAGATCTGGGTAAGGGCCATTTTTATTTTCTTCAGAAACATAAATAACTCTTCCTTCTTTAGAGCCACATTTGCCATTAGTTCTGAGATGTCAGGCTTCCTTTCAGGCAGCAATGACTTCTGTGTGGCTGTAGACCACAGGATCCAGACAATAAGAAGGGGAACATTATCAGAAAAACTTGGGCTCAACGCAGAGAAAGAATTCTGATACCTGAAGCCGGCCTTGCACATAACTGCACCCACAAGCGATGGATATTAAATCTCTCACAGAGTGTTGATAAAAGGCTGGTCATACCCTACTGGGGACAGATGGAAGACTTTTGCATTAAATAGGTCACTCAATGATCCATAAATCCTCTTCTCGAGTTCAAATCCAGTTCACAGAAGACAACATAGAAGTTTCCCCCGCCATGTTGTTATTCACATATTCCCTGCCTGTGTTTCCTATAGATCCATTAAAACAAAAATGAAAGACAAAAACCAAAAATCATTCTATAAACTCTCCAAAGATGTTTTCCACTCTCTGATTTTTTTTTTTTTTTTTTTTTGGTACCGGAGATCAAACTCTGGTCCTTGCGCTTACGCAGCAGGCAGCAAAACCACTGAGCTAAATCCCCGGCCCTCTAATGTTCTATTAATGTAACATGTACTCCTTCATGTTTAGAAGTATTGGAAGAAAACAAAAATGCCCTATGTTGGCCAACTTGCCTTATAGTATATTTATCTCTCCTAATTTAACTGCAACCTTAAGTACTTACTTTGATATAAAGGTTGATAAGCACCATATATAGATGGATAGGAGGATGGATAGATGGATGGACAGATGGATGGATGGGTGGGTGGGTGGGTAGATCAATCTTTGATAGATATACCCTTCTTTTAAGGTCAGTAACTCCAAAAAACCCTCTGGCATTACACTCATGTTATAAAACTGAGGAAATTGTGTTTCAGAGAGGTTTGAGTGACTTTTACCAAGTTACACAGCTGAAAAATAGCAGAGAGACTGAGGTCCAGAATGAATAGACTCTCAGGTCTGTCAGCTCCACTGTACTGCCTCCGTAAGTATAAATCACTGCACGATTTACCCTGCCTTTGAAAACATAAATACCATTCCAAATTCAAAGAGGCATAGGGATCCCTGTTGTTATATACCATAGTATAGGGAAGGTAGCTAATAAATGGCTGAGTGAGGGGAGAGTTTTGAATGCTTCCTCAAAGTGATTTTCCCCCTTCTCACGTGATGTAGTGTATGCCACTGTCACATGCTGACGAAGCTGAGCTTCACAGGAAGCCTTTGCCAGCTGGCTTCCGCACACTCCAGGTTCATTAGAAGCATAGTTAATGAGGGTCGGAGCCCCCTGGGCTAAAGGAGCCAAATTCAGCATGATTCCTAAGTAGGAAATTGATACTTAGAAGCAATCTTTTCTTCTTCTAGGTATGAAATGTTATTTGCTAGATAAGAGTGATGAGGGTATCAGTCTTCCACATGGGAATTTCAACAACATGGAGACATTTTTGAAAATGTCACTTGAATTTTCCAATTCCTAAAAAAGACATTGGCTTTTACAGCTTCACATACAGTAGGGTCCCATGAAAGGATGAATCAAAGTTAGAAAAAGACCCTCATCCATAACTTTTCTCTGATCCTGAACTTTATGTGAGTTTGTTTGTGTGTTTATCTAGTCTCTATGATGCCCACCATCTTTCAGATTACAAGTGCAAAACTTTATGTCTGAGAACAATAATTAAGTAAACATTTTATTGTGCATTACCACATAGACAATTCATATGACGCATTAAGGAGGCACTACTTTTCAGTTTCCAGATTAAAATTTTGTTTATCTGCATCAGTGTTGGAACAGGGATTACAAAAATAAACAAGTTAAGGAGAAACAGAAAAAGGCCATAGTAGGCATTCATCTCCATATTCTCCTCTGCTGGCTGTCTCCCTATAAGACATCACAGTGACTTTTATTACAGATCTTTCAGGGTCTATGCATTTCTTCTGTTGGTCTCATCATCCCCAGAAGTTGTCCGATATAAAAGTGATAATTTGAAACATGAAGGAGAGATGATAATCACAAATGTGAAAACATTGCAGAGTAATTCTGGGAGTCTAAAAGTATTATTTGATTTTTTTAAAGTGTCTCTATCATTACTCAATTCTTTCTCTGCTTCTCTTATTCCCTTTTTTTTATACTTTGCCCAAGGCATCATTTAGTGTTCCAAAATATTAGACTATTATAGGTATTCAGAAGCCCCAGGAGAAATGGAATACATTTACAGACCCATAAACATCTAAATTAGGGCTATAAATGGGAAATATAGTCTACAGTTGGAGAGTGCCCAATACATAATATGTTGTGGCATAGAAGAAACTTCCTTTTTGGTGGCTGGAAAATCTATTTGCTCTAAGTATTCAATTTTAAAATGGATAATAAAAATAAATAATAGGCATGCTTATGCTTAAACTGCACCTTTCATGGGAGATCTCAAAGAGTTTTTCAACTGTTAATTTATGACCCCTGGGGAAAGGTAGGTGGCAAATAATATCTTTCTTCTTCAAATGGAGAAGCAGACCAAGAAAGTCCCAGCTGCCTTATCCAAGGACACAAGTCAAGCTCTAGCATCATGCAAACAATAGAAGAATTATTTGCCCACAAAACCTAAGAGGTGCACCAACGTGGATTGTGCAGTTTCATTAGTCTGTCGATTGTGTATTCTTGCAAAACAAATGACTACAAATCTCAGTGACATACTTTGGTAAGTACTTATTCTTGTTCATGCATCTCCCCATGGCCTGGAAGTTGACTAGACCAAGCTCATGGCTGAGTTGGACTGGGCAGCCTAAGATTTAGATTGAGTCTGGATATGCTTGATGTGTTGTTCAGTCTCCCAGGAAGAAGGGTATTGCCCAAGTATGGTCACCTCGTGGCACTGGTAGAGAGAAATAGAAGAAACTCCAGCTATGCGAGTGAATCTTGTTGCCTGTATAAATTCTATTTGCCAAACCAAGATAGTGACTGAGTCCAGATGGAGGGGTACAGAAGTTCATTCTACTTTCCAAGATGCCAAACAGTCACATGAGCATCCTTTATATCATTTCCTTAAAAATGCACTCTTCCCATGGAGCTAAGAGAAGAAAATTGCTATTTTTAGATAGTAATCTAATTTACCATAATCAGAAGCTTATCAGTATTATTTCAGATATTTTTTATATGTGCTGATCTTTATAACAGTGGCTACTACATGTGTTCTTGTAACTTCCATTTAACCACTGATTTGATCCTGGCTTTGAAAGTAATCTCTGGGAATTAGTGTATTACTCACAAGTATTAGTTAATTACTGCATTATTCAGTTCCCCTTTTTTTTCCTGTAAATCAATCCTTCACGTGATTTGCCTTTAGAGGTCAGAAATCAGATCTATCCAAGACCTGTGTAGTAGCAGTAGTAGTAGTAGTAATATAATAATGGTAGGCATTGTTTATTGAATACTTACTATGTGCTGGACATGTACTAAGCTCTTGAAAGATACTACCTTCCTTGGTTTTCTTTAATCCTCAGAAAGTATAATCCCTCTCTCACAGGTTCTTCATGGTCACACAGAAGTTAGTAACTTCACTGGGATTTAGTCTGTGTATATCTGACTCCCAAATTCCAAACTTGAGACCCCCACAGTGCATTGAGATGAGGACTAAGATGGATACAGTCTGAAGTGACAGTCAGGAGAACAAAACTATTACTTGTAAGAGAAGAAGGAGAAGAAGAAGGAGGAGGAGAAGGAGCAGGAGGAGGAAGAGGAAGAGGAGGAAGAGGAAGGAGAGGAGGAAGAAACAGGCATACCTGGTTCCAACTACCGGGCTGGTCACCATCTTCTATGTGATCATGGGAAGAGTATCTCCATTTACTGACTTATATTTCCTATCTGTAAGATGGGAACGATACCATCTATGAAATTTAAATAAGATAGCATATATCTCTTGTCTTATAGCCCTTTGATATGAAATCAAAGAACCAAAGTGATTTAAGAGAAAATTTCCTAAAAGGCACATAATTCTATAAATTTAGATGAAACTGTATGTGGTACATTCATGTAAACAACATACACTTAGGAGTCTATTCCCAGCCACTCTTCAGTTCCTGAGAGTTCCAAGGAACCAGGAAAGCTTGACACCCTTAAAAGGTTCAGTGGAATATCTTTAGCACAATGGTGTTACTGTGGATGGAATGGTGTTATCTAACACTTCTACCTCCACAAAGCTCGGATAACCCACAATCTCCAGGATGCCACCTGAGGACTCTTGCTGGTTTGTAGCAACCTAGTGTGAACTCACAATCCTCCCAAAGTCACTTCAGGGTCTCTCTATACCCTTCCCACTCTACTCAATTTGAAAAATCAATGAGAATGAGGCATCCTCTCTCTCTCTGTCTCTCTCTCTCCTCTCTCTCTTTGCAGCAGTGTGATATAAGACACCTCATTAAATGCAGTTGGCATTGTCTTGGTTTTCAGCAACAATGATGTGAGCCAAGCTGCCTGCATGGCAAGTCCTCAGGGTGGCCTGGGTTACAGAGGGCCAGAAGGCAAACTGGCTGTCCCTCCCGGCTGTCCCTCACAGTGCTTTGAATCTCCTCTCTCTCTCTCTCTCTCTCTCTCTCTCTCTCTCTCTCTCTCTCTCTCTCTCTCTCAGCTTAGGCCTCTCCACATCACTGTCACCATCTGCCTCAGGCTCTATCTGAATCCCTCTCCTCTCCAGTTAATTCTGTGGGCTCCTGTGGGGAGGAGTGTCTCCCACTGACTCAGGCCCATTTCTGCAGGTTATATATGTCACAGTTTTCCATGCCTTTAACAAGACTCAATTAAAAATTAATCAGTCCAGCATGGCAACTTGGAGAGGTAATTGTTTCTTTTCCTGACTCCATGGCCATAGGCTGAAAGCACACCCAGTACCTAAATTAATGATCTAATTGAGATTTTTCCATACTCCACTCAGCCTTCCAGCGGTCACAGCAATGTGCTGCCTGACCTCCATAATTGCATTGCCTGGGTGTCCATTCTGTGGTTTTCTCCCTACTTTCTCTTCCAACTCCCTTTAGTGAAATGGAAAGTAGCCATAGAGGCTGTTTAACTGGGCCTTTTCCAGTGGCCTAGAGACTTCGTCTTCAGAAGATAAAATACTGTTCACGAGGAAGTACTGGAAAAGATGGGACAGATTAATATATTAAACATGGCTTGTAACAGGAAAACACAGTTACAAGGGAATGGCAGTAACTAATTGGTTAAATAAAATATGGTGCATTTGCACAACACACACCAATACAGCTATCAAAGAAATGAGGAAATCTTATGGATACCGCTATAGAATGTTTTCCGGTATATTCTATCAAAGGTGGGGGGGGAGAGAATTCTAGAAGAGTACAGAAGTATGTGATATTTTCATGAAAAGAAAAAAAAAGTATACATTAAACATATGTGTTATATGCACACATATACTTGCATGCATATACATCGAGGAATGTGGATGTATCTAAGTTTGCAAATGCTTAAATCACCTCTGAATGGAATCACAGGAATAGACTAACATCAGTTGGCTGTACAAAGGTATGTTCAGTGCCAGGAGGAAGATAAATGAAGAAAAAGAAGCATTGTATCTCATTTTTGTGTTTTCTGAATTGAACTTTTCTTGTCCAAAAATAATGCATTTGTATCTCTGAAATCATTTAAAAATACTTGGTCTATGGTTCAAACTTCTGATATCTTTATGAATAAATAAGTCAATAGAGAATTTAAATAGTTTTGGAAAAGAGAAGCGGAGAGAAAAAGACAACTGAACTGTGTGTCAGTTTATTTATAACCCCACATAACACAGCAACCCTAAAAGTTTAAGTGGTTTTGTGTCTCCTTTTTTAACAGATGAATACATTTAAACAAATGAAAGGAAGAAGTTAATACCAAAAGTATTAATTAGGTGTTGACTCATAGCAGCCAACATACAAATATCACCTTTATATTTTACTTTGATATAATAAAGACATTTTATTTTTCTCCAATATAATATGAATGACAGTATTTTTATTTATTTGCATAAAAAAAGAAGACGAAAGCCTATGTTTTGTTATGTCATTTCTCTCTCTCTCTTTTTTTTTTTTTTTGGTACCAGGGCAAGGCAGGTAGCAGAACCACTGAGCTAAATCCCTGGCCCCTCATTCCTCATTTTTAACATGAGTCTCACCTTGTCCTAAACAGACAGTGGGGGGGTAGCCTACATATTTCTTCTTAAACTCTCACCTGGAATATTTAATGAAATTTTCTCAGTAGATCCTACACATTGATTCATCTACCACACACTAAGGACCCCACACAACAAAACAAAACAAAAAAAGGATTTGAAGCTGTATTATCTACTTAAGGTGAAGATCCTTCCTTATGTCATTGACATCCTTGACCAGCCAATGTTTGCAATCCACTTAAAATGGAATTTTAGTTCTCTTCTCTCCATGAAATCAACCACTAACATTTATCTTCTTCATTCATTGTTCCTTCTGATTATACTTGAATTGTAAATTTATACCATCTTAAAATCTTTTGCTATTTGTGAAAACTATGGGTGTCCAAAGATATACTCGTCATTGGTAAGCAACTAAAAAGTGAGCTTTAATAAAATTGACCTGACCGTAACTTCTAATTTTAAACCAATAACTATCTTTAAATGATGTTAGAAGCGTACATTTTGTGACCTGTAAAATAGTATACAAAAGTCAGTTATAAATATTGGTAATAGTAATTACATTATTTATATTTATAATTAACAGTATCAAAAGTGTTATCCCCCTTTAGCCACTAGATTTCCTCTGCCAAGGCAGACAATCTCTCCACAACTATAAATGTAGTTTCACTGCAGTTAATTAAGAATACTGCCTCATAGCTGTATGATCTTAATGATGAATACCATTTTAATTTCCCTGGGATCAAGTGCATGTGTATCAAAAAAACCCAAAAAAACCCCAGTGTCATGCTTCCAAGATTCTTAACAGAAGGGTGAATGTATAAGGACATGTACAAGTTTTGTGAGTTTTAGTACTTGAATCTATCCATTCCAAGTACCACTCTAAGATGCTAGTTACATTGCTAAGAGATATTAGGCTCTAGGAAAAGAGCATGCCACTTCTTCACACTAGACACACTGTTCCAACAGGTAATCCTGCTTTTACCAGCTTTACCTCGCCCTTTAACAAGACAGGTCATTACCTATATTGACAAAAAGCAAGAATATTGTACTTCATCTAACCAGAACAGTAAGACAGTGCTTGTGAGTTTCAGCAGCATCTGCCCTGCCCAGACAGAAGGTGAGAATTAGCCAAAGTTAATCTCCAGAAAGTGTTTTGTTAAATTCAGTGTTCATGAGTCATGGTGAAGATCCTAGCTGGGTGTAACAAAATTATTTCCACAGCTTCTAATGCCATATTAAGGGTGATATTGCCATGATATGCCCAACGGTATTCCTGATAATAGTCTCTGAATGTTTTTAGTCACATCCAGGCAAAACTTCCCCCTGGAGAGAAGAATCTGCAAATAAGCAGGAAGCTCTGGTCTCCTTCGTGTTCATACCATGCAAACTCAAGAGGACCTCTGGTGACCTCTGACCTTTTCTCCATGGTCCTTGATGCCTCAGGGGCTCTTTCTCATGGAGAAGGGAACCACCAATCTACTTTCGCCTCCCTCCTTCCTCCCTC